AAGAGGACTGTTTTACGGTCCTGTCGCCATACCCGCCCCAAGAGCATTTTCAGCGACTCAAACGAAGCCTCTCTTTCTTCCAAATGGATATGCACACCGGCACACACTCGCTCACGCACGCGTTTTTATTTATCTTTCGTCCACATTCACCCTGCACCACCATCTCTCATGCACGCCTTTCTCCACCCTCGTACGGGCAAAACTCTAAACAACAAACTCGAATAACGCAAAAAAAAAAAACTATACAAATTATCCCTTGCAAATCAGAATTTGAATCGTGGAATTAAATTTGAAAAAAAATCGAACGAATTTCTTATGCCTCGGTTCGATTATAATTTTAAACTCAGAAAGTTTACAAAAAAATTATAACTTTTGTGCTCGAAGAATCAAATTGTTTGATTGAAAAAATTCTCCCAAGTTCAAAGTAATCGACAATTACGATCAGCCATGACACAGAAGCATTTAACAGATTCATCCATACTGTGCGTAGAAAAGTATATTATAGATAGTCTGAAGAGTATTGAAATTAATTAAGAATTTTGTGACAGAAAATACTCGAGGGTTGAAAATTTTTTTTTTATGGTAACTTGTGCCAAACAATCGTTGCAATAAACTCGATATAATTAGAAAAATGTTTACCTCTCTTTAACCCCTCCGCCATATTGTTTTCGACGCTACTATTAACTTTGGGGAAAATTTCGCTACATTTCTAAACATACCAAACTAATGTAAATTAAAAGAAAAAAAACACGAAGTGATCAACCGATTACTAGTAAGGGGGGGACTTACAAAAGCTTGCACAATGAACGTAAATTATGGAAAACGCGTTAAGATACATCCCACACGTACACAACACTCAGACAAGATACGAACGCACGCGCATATAAAACGCCTGCAGAATGCAACGTTAAAAAATTGAAAATCCATGTACACACACGACATAATCCCCATTTTGAATCGTCCGTGCGTCCCGTCAGTCTAAATCGTATCCATATTCTATCATTTAACTACGGGATAGACGATCCATCGAGATCGAGGACGCTCGAGAAGAAGCAACGTTTTCTCTTCTTCGATGTAATTACAGTTTACATTTAATTCCGCTTTGGCTTCTGTACATCAGATTCTTTTTTTTTTTTATCGACTTTCTCATATATGTATATATATATATATATATGTATATTATATTCTGGCATTTCGAAACGGTTTCATTTTGAGCGGCTGGCCTCCCCTAGTTCCCTCGCTTCCCCCGCGCAAAGGTAAATCTCTCAGAGATCGAATGGTGATTCAGATAATCTCAACTCACCTGCGCAAAGAGAACAAAAGCAACACGTTTCACGGTCACTACCGAACGATCATCTTCGACGTCTTCGAAGCACTCTGTCACGCGCGCGCGTGCGTGCGTACGTCAGTAAAAACGTTTTTTTCTCGATTCTTCTTACATTTTCTTTCCGTCACCGTATATTACTCTCTCAAGGAACGTATGCAGCGAAACGAGTAACGTACGTCACACTCTCGGTATCGTTTCAATTTTCTCTCATCGTCAAACGTATTTTTTTTTTGTTGAAAAAAAAAAAAATCTGTCCCACTCTCGATCTTTCTGTCTTTCTCTCTCGGTCTCTCGCTCTTGTTTCTGAACGTTTGTCTCTCTCTTTCACGTCCTGTCGTTTCTTTTCTCTGTTTCTGTTTCTCCGTTTCATGTAATGTTTTGTATATATTTTTTTTTTTTTTATTTATTTTCGTTTCCTCCGTCGCGAACACCAAAACTAGGCAACGAGAAAGAACGCAAGAGAAGGCGGAAGCGATTAACCTGGCGACGTTCGTTGTCCGTTGACTCTACGCACACGTTTCGTTATATTCGTTCTTTTTCTTTTTTCTTTTTCTTTTTTTAAAAGCTATCCGTTTCACCCGCGGTCTGTCACTCGGCGGAACACGCACGTTTTTTTCTTTTCCGTTCCCGTGTACTCGCGGCTTATCCTTGCGCGACGAACGAACGTGAAACAGAAGTTAACCAGCGTTTAAAACAAAAAAAAATATAATCAGGAATTAAAAGAAAAAAAAAATTCGTAAGCACCGCTAAAAGCTGGCTCCACCCCCTCCTTTTACCAAAGTGGCCAATGGCAGCGAAGCGTTTCTCATTCGTGGGCGGGGCAATATGATGACACCGTAAATACGAAAAATGGGGGGGAGGGTAGCTTTTCTTTGATGGTTAAGTAAGAGAAACGAGTGAGCAAATAGAGATACGTGTGTATAATATAAATATATATATATATGTAAATATATATATCCGTACAGAACAAGACGGGGTGGGCAAATGAGCGTAAAGAAGAAGGAACGTGGCGCTGCGCATTGGCCGAGCATAAGTCACATGGGTATGTATATATATGTATATATATACGTATATATAAATACATATGTCTTTTAACGAGAATCGGTGGGTGGTAGGTTAGATTTTTGGAGGCTACAGCATTCAAAGGGAAGTCTTGTGTGTTTGTTGGCACGTTTGGTTCCGCTCGAACGTCTCGTCGTTTTCAGAGGAGCATACAACAACAACGTCTATATGGGTTTCAACGAGACGACGGCTTCCTTTCTCTCTCGTACACTCGATTTCTTTCGTGTATATATATATATATTGATATATATATATGTATATGTATACGCATATATATGTATGTATATGTATACATATTTTTCTTTTATTATTAGCATTGTATATATATTTATTTTTTTTTTATACTTTTGGTAATTTTTCAAGCTGTCGCAGGTCAACACGCGTGACTCAACCGGGTCTCGTTTTCTAAAGCCCCGTGAAACACGGTGCGCATCGTGTTTCGATATTCCGCCACGGTTCCTAGCCGTGCCGAAAAAATTCGTTTCGGGTTGCACGAAAAAAAGGAAACGGTTCTTTTTTACAGGCCGACTTTAGAAACCCGTGACACGTATAAACTCCTGGGAGCCTATTCACCTGCTCCAGACGCAAATCACATTTTTTTTTTTATTTTTTTTTTTTTTTTCTATTTCTCTACCACTCTGCGAGATTTGTTGACCTTAATTTCATGTAAGGATGCTACCTCAAGCGTCGTCCTCGAGTTAACATCTTAACGAATTGCGCCCGTCAACAAATTCATCGACTCGAGTTTTGAACATATTTTTTTTTTGCATATAAATATTTTACAGTGTACTTGAGTCTAAGCTAAAAAAATAGCCTCCCCGGAAACATTGCCGCGATACTGCATCTCGGTAAACGTTCGCAGTCGCGCAAACGCAAAACGATGAAAACGCGGTGAAAAAAATTAACGGACGTAAAACGCTGAAAAATTAAATTCATTAGCACATCGGTAAAGCAGTTCAAATGGTTTTTGTTTGCTCTTTAGAGACGTCGTTAAGTATCTGATGGTAATTTTATTACAGTATATACTTTGATGAAGTAAGCGACGAAGATTGGGTGGGTTAAGGGTCGACACGTAGTCGCTTAGGAAAACTTGTAAACTGAATCTTCGAGTCTAGCTACCGTCGATCGACCTCGACGAATCGTATAAAACGGTTTACCGCGGCGATTCAAAAATTCGATTGAAATTGTGATTGCGTTACCGGCTTCCAGAAAAACGCTCGACCGTTCTTACGCGAGTTCGCGAGAGAAAATTCAATCATGCAAGAATAGATTTTTCAAGCTGTTTACTTGAAACTAAGTGTGGTCGTATTGATTCTACGTAACGCGTCATTCTGATTCAATTTCACAGTGACGATTTCGAATCGTCGTTTTGGTTCATATTTTGCACGTATTTTGGCGTACATCGTGTATGATACTGCATGAAATATTATGTAATTGTTCCTTTTACGTACACTTTTCCAATTCATAGTTATTTTGAATTTATTTCAATTATTACTTAATAAAATATTCTTTCAAAAATTTAGTTTAATGAAACCACTTTGGCTTTATCTTTTTCCAAATGGATCCACATGTTCCTTTCTATTTTATTATATTTACAGAATATTTAATTAAGATGAACGATTAACAATAATTTATACAACTTAGGATCAGAAAAATTGTACGTTTTAACAAAGTCAAATATTATTAATAACTTAATTAAATTAGGAACAATTAAATACAGTATTTACATGTCAAGAACCGAGGAAAATATTTCTGTACCCAAAAGGTTCGAAGCTAGTGTTACACTCACCGAGTATGTAAAAAAAGACACAAAACTTGACGCACCTTTATTTTCCAAAGCATTGAGCGGTGAACTCTGTACTTTTTCACACATTATCATACACGATGTTCATTATGTGCAAAATGAAATTAAAATCGACGACTCGAGCACAGAAACGACTTCAAAATACAAATTCTAAAATCAAGGTTTCTTGACAGGTTAATGGGTTCAAGCATTTCGCAGCATTGGAATCAATTATTTTATTCAATGGATATGTGACAATCTCATGGAACTTATTTATGAAACAAATCAAACATCTTTACAATATATAACAATGTTTGAATCACTGACACGCAATGCAATAACGCAATAGCAATTTGTTGTCTTTCACTTGGAGTTCTATTTGAACACACGTTACATCATAGCTCTTTACTTCATTGTTTTATTTGTTCTTTTGTGCAACGTGAATGGGGAAACTTAAATAATAAAAAAAGAATCAGATATTCCTTTGTGTTCCATCAGGGAGTTAAAAATGCTTGAGCACAACTCGTCAGAGAAACCTTTACTTTGAAACGACCACGAATTCTTGTTCTAAAATCAGTTTACAGGTACTCGAGCAATAAAGTTTGCTTTTTATCGTTTGTTAGTGCGCGCAAACTTTACAAGTTTTGTTCCGGAGTTCGCGAGGAACACGTTCGTCTCATCTTCGTCGATCAACGAGACGTTGAACTCGCTTGTGTACAGATGAAAAGTATTAACGATGATGTTGTGTTATTTTGATCGCGCGTTACAGACGATGATCAAAGGTGCCGCATACTGTTAATCGTGTAAGCTGACGATGGTATTTCTTACCTTGCTTGAAACCCTCGCTCCCTTGTCTACTGTGCGGCCGCGCGAACGTCTCGTCGGAGGCTGAAGTACAAATTAAAATGGGTTAGATGGTCTACATTCACACGCGTTTTAATCCTTATGTAAATAACCAAAATATTTAATACTGTTCGATAACCAAGGTACTTGGCTAAGCCAAGCGTTCTATTTAGATAAATCGAACGATACACAGCAATCGTGTCAATCTGATACCTGACCTTTTTATTAGCCACCTTCTACTGCTTTTAGAAATTTTAACAAAATCTATGCAATACAAAATTTAATTATTTTGCTTTATCTCCTGGGAAAAATTTTAATGGGGGATTCTAGAGGCCAAAATAAGACTAAAATCAAGAATACCAATTTGTTGATGGAGGCTTTGTTAAAAAGTTATTAACGTTCAAAGTTCCGGCTGTAGAACGACAATTTGTTCACCTTCTCGAATTTTTTTCTCGAACGTGGGTAGGATTTCGGGGGTATGTCTATTCATCAAAAATGATTGTAATCGACCCCGGCAACTGAAAATAATTTTTTTGTAACTATTTGAAATTTTTTAATTTCGTTGAAAAATTTCATACCTACACGAATTTTTTTCTAGAAAGTGCGTAGTATTTCGGGGGTATGTCTATTCACCAAAAATTATTGTAATTGACCCCCGCGACCGAAAATAATTTTTCCAGAACGATTTGAAATTTTTGAATTTAATTGTTAATAACTTTTTAACGAAGCCTCCATCAACAAATTGGTATTCTTGATTTTCGTCTTATTTTGGCCTCTAGAATCGCTCATGTAAATTTTTCCCAGGGTTGGCCGAACACCCTGTATATGACTAACAGTAAAATATGATAAAAAGGAGCCTAAATAACCGCCACATAATTTTACAATTGTTAGAAGAAATATGAAATTATTGGTAAACGTTCCTCGAGCAAATAACGAGACAATTTTTATAAAGTTAGCGATAGAAAGTATGCTAAACAGACCACACACAATATCCGATGTTTTCTACAACTGCAACGAGATTCAAGATGGAAAAAAGAAAGTAGCAAGATATATGTCACGACGATCTTGGCAGAAAACAGAGAACGTATACGCGGCAGGCACTTACTCAAGACACTTTCTCGCAAAACACTGAAGTTTAAAGGTTTTTGATTCGCTAAATAAAGCCTTTTAATATATTAATAATTTCTAATACCATTTTTGAACTATTGGGTACCTCCATGACAGTATAGGAGTTATAATTCTAGACTACAGTACGATTGCAGTGTTTCGATTGGCGCAATATGTGTCGATAATTGGTACATTCGTTTTACTCTTTAATTGGTTATTGACATAAAGGTTAAAAATGACGATCGTCGGAGACTAGTCTACTGCACAGAGCCATAAAGATTGTCCCTGACTGATGTCCGAGAGAGGAAATCATTGTTTGTTCATAAAAATACGTTTCCACGTTAGCAACTATCAGCGTGTCCTATAAAATATTGCGTATTTCTGTCAATTTGTTTTCTGGTTACTTTTAAACCGTCTATGGAAATGTAGATGTACCTCAGATTTACTTTCATTTTGTTGTTTATTTTCAGACTGATTTCCGAAAAAAAAATCTAAGATTTTGACGCGTTCTTGTCATCATTGGAACGAGAACTAGAATTCTATGCTTAAAACTATAAGCCACCCGGTGTATGGTTCAGACTTTGATCACCTTTCCCTAGCGACGTGCATTTTTTTTAGCAATTATGATGTCATCAAACATGGATGTGCCTGATTTTTTGCATTCCAAGAACGAGATTGGTAATGCCAGAAGGACACAGATCACTATGCTTGAAATTACATTTTGTTGTCAGTCAGAAAGGTATATATATACATCTAGGAGGGTGAAAAGCAAATTGATTCCCTTTTCTCATTATTTCTAAAAGATTCATCAATGATAAAAATTGAAAACATTAAGGTGTTTTTGAGTCTTCTAAATATACATAACTCATTAATGAATTGAAGGTTTTAAAGTACGCAATATTTTCTGGGACACCCTAATATTAGTAACTACTTTATGCGATACGGAATCTTGACCAACAACGAAATAACCTTTTCTAAAAATAAAACAGAGGAATGTGGTCGAACAAGTAATTCGTTTATTCATTGACACCGGAGAACATAAAGTTTCTTCCTAAACGTGTTTGACCTAATATCGGACATTGAATAACAAAAAATTCATGAATATTAATACCAACAAAATTAATCAATTTAAACATATTCGTTCTTCCGGAAAAAGAAAAGAAATTATTTTCTTATTCATCGAGAATCAGTATTAAAATAAAACTGTTTACAAGGAAACCATATGTTGTACGAAGTTAACGAATAAATGAATTGCTTATTCGACACACACAAAGTATACTACGATGTAAAAAGTATAGTATAACCTAACGTTCAATTTTGCGATTTTAGAACTTAATAAAAATAATGATAATAAACAAACGTAGCTGCGTTAAAGATCGGTCCAAGACAAACAGTTCAGTTCAAACAAATACTTGTGAATTGTAACCTGAATCTTCGCGGTAATAAGATTCAAAAAGTGGGCATAAAATCGCTTGGCAATTGTTTCTTCTTCCTATTATTAATGTCATTACATACGCTTATGACGTCAATCATTATCATTGGGCATTCTCACTGAAGGTATGCATACTCTACTGCCTAACTTGTATTGTAACAGTTATTTTCCCGCGATACTGCAATTTTAAAAAGAATCTATAAATGGGTGTAGCAACGACAACAACTGTGACGAATAAAAGTTGATATAATGATATTGATTGTTGCAGAAATCTTTAGAGAAAATGGTCGAAGAAAGCAAAAAAGATAAATGCTTTGCAAGGGGAGCGTAGGCGGTCGGATAAGGTCGAAAGAAGTTCTTTAAAGGAATCCCGAACCCTACGGTCAGAAAAAAACCCTCCGGGCATTCGAGAAAACTTTATGAAAGAGATAATGGAAGGATCTCTGAAGTAGTGTAACGCCGAACAATGTATTTCTTGTCGTCGTTGGATAGGAAGAGGAAGTAGAATACTCTTTCCGCCAAGGTTCCCGGTATTTGACGCCTTTAGATATTTCCCTGTGAGGCTTTGTAAAAGATTAAGTTCACCACTAACTCCGATAACACAAAGGCACGGAAGGCGGATGTCTGTCAACAAATTACTGGGGAAACTTTCGAGGAGGTAGAACCATCGTTCAGGGACAGAGTGAACCAATTCACCGATGCTGAAGGTCGTCCTTTCGAATATAAAAGATAAACGAATTTAATATGTTGTGACTTCGATATAAAGAACTTAGGACGAGTCAAACATGATATTAGAAGGGGTTAAAATGGCACTTGTGTGCTTATTGTCTACATCTTCCCAAATATTCCAGTAAATTACTGTCTGTTGTAGAAAACTGTTTCGTACGATCTCTCGTGTAGGTACATTCGTGTAGGTACTAATGCTTCTATCAAGTTCTGAACTTGTAATGTCAAGGATTATATCACATACTGAGTGTCTTGAACCACGACCTAACCCCTAGCCAAATCTCATCAAACTTTCTCAGATTTTTAATTAAAATCACTCTGTTTGATTGATGGGATTCGAACGTTTCTGAGCATTACGATCACCGAATCGGAATTTCGTTCAGGGACAATCTCTCCGGCACCACGACGTTATGGTGTCTGCTCACCTTGGGCAGAGGTGCTAGGCGTGGGCTCGGGTTCCCGTTTCACGCGTGGCGTCAGCGACTCGGGCGTGTCGGTGCCGTTCTCCGTCGGCTCGTCCCTTCTCGACGACAACGAGGACGCGGCCAGACTGGTCGCCCCCGAACCAGAGTTCCCGACGTTGTTGCTGCTCACGTTGTTGCCCGTCGAACCGCCGCCGCCCGCGTTCCCGCTCCTTCCGTTGTTACCAGTCCCCTCGCTCTGAAAGTCGATACTCATCTTCATCTCCATCATCTCGGGCGAGCCTTGCACGAGATCGGCGCCCGAGCAGGACTGCAGCTCCTGGCCAGTCATCTCGCCGATCGGCGTGTCGGACGAACCGCTCAGCTTCCTCGGTCTTCCACGTTTCCTCTTCGGCGCGGACAACGCTGAACCGAGAAGAGGATGGCTCGACATGTGGTGCATCCTCTTCTGCGATACGTGATGATGAGGCCCGATTTGGTTTATTCTATGTAGATTCGGTGGTGGCGGAGGTACTGTGTTCTGATTGCCAAGCAACGACGAGGTGATACTGGGCAAGTCGCACTTGTCCTCGTTCACCTCGGTCAGGCCCTTTATCCTGAGGGACTCGGCGACTCTCAGGAAGGCGGTCAGCCTGTCCTGATCGACGCTGACCTCGCCTCGATACATGAAATCCAGAAGGCTGCGCATGTCCACGTAGGGAACGTCTTTCAGAATGACTATCGGGTGCTTGTCGGGGTGGCCAACGAAAAGGGCCTGCAAAAGTAACAGAGCACATCGGTACAGGTTCGACGCAACGCGCGGTAAACGTTTATGAATTATTGATACACGCCTCGCGAATTAATGCGCCGTTATGAATTATTAATAATGTCCTAGAATCAGGTACTATCGCAGGGTGGGTCGGCCAGGGCCTCGCGCTTACAAGAGCCTCGAATTTACGATTAAAAAATGAGCAAGCGTGTATGCTTTCGCAATTATGTTTTCACAATACTAATAGACCAATAGCGCGCTCCGTACTGAACCTTTCGGTTGAACTTATACGGTAAAACATATCTGGCAGATTCTGCCTCGGACGTCGTGATTTATTCCGCCTCGGATGGCGTGATAAATGGTTTCAACAATCTGTTCAAACTAATCATGTACTAATAAACCATCCAGTAATTGGAGACCATTCAACACACGATTGATAGCATCGCGACTGAGGCTAGATCTCGTTGGATAAGGTTTACCGATGATTTCTACCAGAAGATCCAGCACGTAACATTTCTCTTAGGAAGAACATTACTTGTTACGCAAGCTAGAGATTTTTTTAAAGTGCTAGGTGGTTCTGAGAGGTTCCTGGGTTTGTTTAGGTTTCACCCTGCCTAGAACCTGGATCCGTAGGTCTTGAGAATCAGGTTTTTACCTGAAAGTAGGGGCTACACGCCGACAGCACCATTTTATGCGCCCTGAGTAGCTGACCCTCGACGGCCAGCGTAACGTCGACGAACGACTCGTCATGGAGCAGTTGGTCGAAAACGGAGAGTAGATTACTTTGATGATTATTCCAGCGCAGACAAAACCGCTGCGACGCCATCGCTTCGCTTCTCAGATCCGCCAGGTTACCGTTAATGTCCGCTAACATCAGATCTAGTGTTGATCTTTTTATTGGTATTGCTCCCGCCGCCTCGTCGTCGCTTCTTCTCGCCTTCTTCGACGAAGCCGCTTGCTCTTGCTCGTGCTCCTGCTCGTACTCGTGCTCGCGCTCGTGCTCTCTCCTTCATCGGCCACAGTTTATCATATCCTTCCTTCTCGTGATCTGGGAAACAAACGAAAATACAATTAATAATTATAAACGATAAAAATTAGATTATTTTCATTCGAATATTCAGCAACAAACGCTTGACCGGTGTTTAAAAACATTAGTGTACGAAACCTTCGACCCTTTGGGTGCTGCAAATGCTTATAAACACTCCGGTCGATCGTTGCAGTGTAGTGGACGCTTATGGAAAGTACGTTTTAAGTTTAAGGAGACGAAGTCTCATACTCTGATACAAAGAGTTTCTATTTCCTATCTATTATTCGAACAAAATTCTGTCCACCTTCGTGCTGGAATTCGATCTCACTTATCTTGATTATCGTCTAGATTTACTTGTCTTATCCTATCTCCCCGTTGGACTTGTTTATCGATGATTTTGTAACGTTTCCTGATCACTTTCAGTCTACCATGTACATTCGAACATGCATAACTGTATTTAAATTAAACAACGAATAAAATTTTTTTTTTATAATTGAAGATCTCCCCCACCCCAAATGGAAAATTTTCCACTGAACTCTTGAAAATATAAAACTCTGCATAATTACATTTACTTGGCGATATGTATCCGTTCACCCTTTACAATTCCGTGCGACTTTGAGGTTACACACGCATATATCTATATTTTGAAAGTCTGATTTCTATTTTACGAGCGCCATTGTGACCTTAGAGGAACAGTATGGTCACTATGGGATCTGTTCGAAAGACATTTCCTATATCCCCCCATTAAATAATTTCCTGCTCGAGCGAAAAATAATTTGAGGTTAGAAAGGATTAATTTCCTGCTGGTCTCGACGCGTACGGAACGCGAGAAAGATGGCGGCTGGATTCGTGCGCGCTGAAAGTCTATTTAAAATGGTATTCGGTCCTGGCCGCGAGTCCTCTAAACGTTCCACGTATATGTACAATAACGCCTGCATACATAATCCATATAAGCTCGCGAGACGATACGCACGAAGTATGAACGTGGGTGTACGACCCTGGAGGACGTAGGTTGGTCGAATAGGCGACTCGCTCGGTTCGTGCCTTTTATGTAATTCTCTCCTCACCCCTTCACCAGCCCAATCACGGTCACGTACGCAACGTTTGTTTCGCCAGGAGACCCACGAAGATCCGACAGAAACGACTTTCCTCGGTCGAGCGAAGGGCAGAATTCGTTATAAGCGACAAGGAAAAAAGGCTAGAAATAGCCGAACAGGTACCTAATATCGTCCCACGACCGAAAACCAAACGGAATCGTCCAGCGTCGACATTTTTACCGAGCAAGACGCCAGGTCCACTTTTCGTGGACCGGAGAAACGCCTCTTGCGAAATTACGAATCGAGATAATTAATGGGATGAGAAACCAAACAGTGTAAAATACACGATTAGCGTCACTCGAAGCTACTTTACTTAAAATACCAATAAATCCTAAACCGTTATACGTAGAATCGTACGTGTAATGAACGCAATAGAGTAAAACAGCACTTAACATTTTTTGTTCGCTTTTTTCTTTGGCAAAATGAAGAACTTTTACCAGTTTTGCGACTTAAAGTTATACAGGGTGATTCATAATGATGGGACAGGAGTAAATATAAAAATTTCTAAAAAAACGTGTTTACCGATGTGATTCTCGGAATATGGCTAGTTATATTCTAGTCAGCTGATCGCGTGGCGCCACTTGCACGCACATGCACACTGGGAACTCGTGTCCGTGACGATTTCACGCGCAAAGACTCTAAATGACTCATATATCTGAAAAACAACGCCTCTTTCAATTTCTTGATCATTTTTAAATACCCTATATTAATTGTCAGTGACCAATCATTCTTGTAACTATCGCCAATTAACAGCAAATTAAAGTGAAATTTCGTTAAAAACGATTAAAAAAAAATTTCGAAACTTCATATACGGAAGAAGTTGTAAAAAAATATCTTATCAAGCTTAGAAGAGGGGGAACACGATTTCAATAACAGAAATAATAACGTGTAACGGAACATCGATGTAACGTATCATAATGTTCCGCGTAATTAAGATAATTTTTCATAATAAAGAAGCGACACGAGTGCAACATTTTTTATTTCCGTATGAACAACTGTCACGTGCTGAAACTTTGTTTACCTTCCCATACAGCTTTATGCGTAGTCACAGCTGCAACGAGAAAAATATAGTAGCATGGTAAGCGCTCATGTTTCTCGTATAGTCAAGGCATAGAGGCAGAACAGGTTTAACTGTACTTCATTGAAACCCGAATACGAAATAAACTTTACTGCGATTATTTATATACTATATATTTACTGTATAAAATGATCCTAACACTCGTGCTAAACGCGAAACTACGCAATAAAATTTAGAAGATCGAAAACACTAAGAACAGAGAGAATGGTGTTTATACGTAATGGATCGTAGATCACGTGGTAAAATAATGCCTTAAAGTAAATATGATAAAAATAACGTGACGAAATCGCTTCAGAAAATCGTATCTAATTTGCATTTTCCAATCCGGACAAGCAAGTGTCTGGTAACTTATAGCGTGTATTCGCGATAGAAAACATTGGAAGCCATGTTACCCTGAAAACCGGTGCCCATATTTCGCAAACAACCTTTCTTTTATAGGAAATTTATTTTTAATAGTTTCCACTGCCTACTGTGACGACAAAGTCCCGAATGATTTAGCCATTGCTGGTTAAATAGTCCGGCGGTTTCGCCATTTTGAAGGCACCATAATTGTGCGTGACTGGGCAAAATAATTCTTCCTCGTGAGCAACGAAAGTAACATTCTTACCTTAAACACGAGCTCAACGACAAGGTGGTAGCAAGAAAGAATCTCAGCCCTCGTTAGTTGTCGTCGCACTGTCAACAATTACGACAGACACAAAAACGGGGACGAAAAACTTTCCTTCCGCGATATACACAAAGCTTTCGATCAACAGTTAGCCACGTTACCCCGAATTCCTTTACTAAAAGAACTTTTACTCCTGACAAATTGAAATATATGTATTTAATGTTGGAAAATAATTATATTCCCTCATGAGACAGTAAATTACAACCATTTTTTGTGCGATGGAATAGTCTACGTAGTATGGTTCGTAATACCATTTAGAACATAACCTAAATTCGATCGTTGGGCGTGAGAGGAATAAAGAATTATCAAGCGTAGACATCTATGGTACGAATTCGTAGAAAAGAAAACAGAATCTGTTGTTTTGTATTGGCTTAAGTATCAGTGAGATTGTAGCATCGTATTACGAATCGCGATAAGATTATATCCTATTTTCGGGCCTCTATTGGGCCTACGAAGAATTCATGAAACTTGTTCGTGAAGTGAGGTTAGAAACATGTGGTTGCCCAAACCCATTAAATCTATGTGAAAGCAAAAGAAAAAATGCGACATCTAGGGGACTCGTTTCAAACTAGCTCAAGACATTAGCAAGCACAATATTGTAAACTTATCATTAGTTGTACTATGCAAATGAGAAAACTGATAATACAGGAAGAAAAAGGGAAACTGTCAAAAAATAATATAATAGACATTCGTTTGAGGTTAAAAACGAACATACTGCGATAAGTTTTTCTGAAGGTCTTCTTCAAAATATAAAAAAATTTTTGTATATTGTTTTTTTAAATATAGGTAAGTGGCGGTACTTAGATATTTTTAAATTCGAAACAAAGTGCAGAAAAATTGGATATTTTGGATACGTTTCGCGTGTACCAAAACAATGACTCGAGGCATAAATCAACAGTTGCGAGGAAGTAGATGCAGAATAATTGTCCCAGGATAATAGAAAGGCAGGCACGATCGCCTGATTAAAATGCAATTGGAAATGTGTGGCGCGAATTGAATAAAGAAGAATCGAAAAGGACGTTGTTTACAAAATAGACGGAACAATGGATCTAAAACTAAAAAATACGTATAGTGGGGGTTACCCGCACACACCTAATAATAATAAACTTTTAACCGTGTTTTATTTTAAAATTAATCGTCAAGGAACGATAAAGAATTTTCACTGCTACCTGTATGTAGACCCGCTACATATAGATCCTTAACGCGTTAATAACAATGTATGGATCGAATGTTTAAACTTTTTGACGGTACCGCGGCAAAAGTTCACCCATAAAAAGAAAGAGAAACAGGAAACGACTTTCTTAACACATGATACACGCAGAGGCGAGTAAAAGGAAGAGGAAAAGAGAGAGGATCCTGCCTCCGTCTCCTCAGTCCTCGCGACTACACAACCTGGAGAAGAGGTCGACGGGTCGGCCCCGGAGAATCAATAGCATTTTCTACGCATTCGGATCGATACCGGGTTCCGTTGGTTTCGCGCGCAAATCTCGATACACATGCACAATAAATGCACGCCCGCGCGCTAGTGTGCACGCGCGCGCGAGCGCTCGTCCCCATAAACATATGCATTTATATACACGAGTGTGTGTGTGCACACGTATATACACGGTGCATATGTGGTATCGTTGTATATTCGATACAAATGCTGGATGGTTGTGCTCGACCTTGCTTGACCTTGTTAGTGGCCTGAGTGAATGGTTTTCACGGTGAATGGCACGTCATCATGATGCGGCGCACAGTGTGCATTAACGACCGCGATCGAGGATTTCTGAAATGTCGTGGCGCGAGTTTCGATCGTTGCTTCCTTCTTTCGACATCGGTCGCGCAACCTCGACGGCGTTCCTGATAAATGGATATTACGTAATAAAATCGCGTCGACTCTCTGGCTGCTTGCTTTATTAAATCGGCCGTGCGAAAGTGGACGCGCGCCCGCGTCCCGACGCGACGGGTGTTGCAAAGCAGACGATGGTATCGATCAGTCCGCGCTACTAACGTTTCTGTATCCTCCTCGCGTGTAGGAGAGAAAAAAAAAAAATCGCGCGTTTCACGTAATCGACAACGGGGCACGCAAGACACGCGCACGCACACACACCGACAGTGGAGAGAGAGAGAGAGAGGGAGAGATCTGAAAGGATGCTGTAATCGTCGCACATTCCATTAAAAAAAACAAATTCTAACT